AGGGCACCAACCAAAAACTACTGCGTAGAATTAATTGGAATTTTTCACACACAAGCCTTGCTATATGAGCTCTCAAAGCATATAAAAATTATACGGCTTAAATGTGAAGTTGGATGCAAAAGAATACAATTAAATCCTCTGTCGGGAAAAAACGAAATGACTTTCCGAACAACCCTATACTAAATTAGAAGGAGGTGATGGCGAGGTATAGTGACATCGCTTCTTTTCTTAACGTTACCATTATCTTATTGTTGTATTATACGATGTTTTTGTATTTCAACCTGAAACAAGGTCATTGCATGTACATGAATCATTATTTTATTTGAAAATAGTCGTTAATAATTTCAGTATTTATCATTTTTATTGCAATTATGTACCAGATAATAAGTGTCAAAACACTTGTTTTTAAATTATATGATGAAGGTATTTACTGACTGATATCTCACATACATATTTATGTCTTACATGTAAATTAGTTTATTATTTTTAAACGGCTCTATGTTAGCAAGTTATCAACCTTACAGGGTCACTTACTCGCCTGTATACCTATCATAATACCCGTATAGGGTGTCGTTGGAACTACTGGAAATAGGGATTTTAAAGGTTGTCAGAAATACTAACATATGTTATCGCAAAATAGGGGTTGTGGCCTTACACGCGATCATCCACTCATGGGTGATAGACAGTTTATGATTTAAAATTAATCATCAATTGGGAAATTTATTCTTTTTAAAATGGTTTGAAGAATTGTGCCCATCATCCAAGATCGGAAGAACTCTGATGATGTCGCGTGGGATCGAGGACAAAATAGACAACCTTAGTTTTCTGATAGACTTTAAAGCCTAATATCTCCATATTTTCAGTAATTCCAGAGACACACTATTATTTAATTTAATGTTGATTATACGAATTATTTCGTTTATTAATAAAGGTGTTGTATAATAATAATCGACTAATGTAAAACTACGAATTTGTTGAAGATTGTTAAAAGAAAAAAGGAAATAAAGTCACGATAACTTTAGTTTCACATATCATACGTGTCCAGACGGTGTGGGTCTTTCTGATAAGTGAGGTTATATCGGTTAGGTGACGTCACAAAGTTATTAATGGCGGACTAAAGGCACCACAATGTCAAATTAGAAAAAAACGGGCTCAGAAACGTATGACAAATGTGATAATTCATATTTCTGTTTCTAGATTAGAAAATAAATGACCTAGGAAATGTTTTAATTTAAGAAACATTTAATTTTTCACAGTTTCACTGCTTTAACATTACTGCTTCGTTTTTTGTAGCGTCTTCTGAAGAAGAGCAAGGTATTTGTTATTGGTAAAAGGCATCGGGTTAGCATAGGTCAAAACTCTTTTATTTTTAGATAGTGGAATATCTATTTGCATTTTTAAAGTATAATTCGTGATATTATTTAATCTTTTTTCTTGCTAGTTTTTTAATTATAATACCTTTATGTATTTATACTTGAGAATCAAGTTACAATGAGCATTACATACTTGAATAATTACAGTAATTACTCTGTTTTTCTGTGGATATATAAAGAGCTCCGGTGATGTGAAACACGATTCAGTTCATCACAATTGTTCATTCTCGTAATTTCTACTAGATTGATATTTTTTGTCGGCAGTACTCTTAAAATTTAGTCCAAAATGAAGGGTTATTTAATTTTCGCCGTTTTACTCATCCTTGCCATCGGCACCGAAATTGCGTTTGGAGATTGCCTTTCTGGAAGGTATGGGGGTCCATGTGCCGTATGGGACAACGATGCTTGTCGCAGAGTCTGCAAAGAAGAGGGACGTAGTAGCGGTCACTGCAGTGCAAGTCTTAAATGTTGGTGTGAGGGCTGCTAGAATTTCTAAGGCGTTAAGAAGAAAATGGACTTGGAATTCAACCGGCTAAGTCAGTTAAAATGGGAATTTTTTCTATTTTTTATTCAGTTAAATTTACCTTATTTGTATTCATATAATATATTGTTTATTTGCTAGCATAAAAGACTTTTATTTTATACATTTACAAAAAGTCAATTGATGGACCCAATAACAACAATAGTTTTAGTAAGAATAACAATTGTTAGTTTGATGGGTAAGTATTATGTTGGTGTCAACGAAAAACTATATAATCATTTGTAGTGTTTAAAAATTGAAAATTAATTTTATTAGGTTTATAGTTTGGCTATTACAAGCA